AGGAAGGAAGGAAGGAAGGAAGGAAGGAAGAAAAGAAAAAAAGAAAGAAAGAAAGAAAGAAAGAAAGAAAGAAAAAAAAACTAGCCAAGAGTAGGTAAAAGAGAAACAAAAACCCTAATCATAGTTCTTGGTGAGTAAATGATATAAATACTCATATTTTGCTCTGTGATCATGTACAGGTTCATTATTTTATTCTGATATTTGTACTGAACTTGCAAGATATCAGTTGGCACCATTTATCTGACAGGAAGCAGGTCCAGGCAAGTTCCTCTATAACAAAGGTTACTTCAGTGTTACATTCAGTCATGATGATATGACAATCATGGCCATCCCCAGATAAGGGAGAACTGATTGCACTTAGATAAAAATGCTACTTCTCAAATTCTGAAGTAAAAAACTGTATACTTTGCAACTAGAGGTAAGTGCACACTAATTATGTTCTATTTGAGTTTTTCCTTCTGCTAGCTAAATCGCCATATAAAATATTGAAAACTTCGGCTGCAAAGTTGTGCAGCTAAAATTATAAGGTAGCAATTGTCCTATGAGACCCATCACTTCTAGTACCCTGTTCTTCTAGGAAAATATCCATTATTTTTGAGCTGACTCTAGAAGGCTTCCTTCTTTCTCCTTGCCCCTTCACCGGTCTAGATATTTATTGTGCACTTCTGAAAACATTATTTTCTAACATCTATTTAACATTTAATTTCCTCAAATGTTTATTTATATTGTTTTCCAAATTTTCACTCAGGTCTGAAAAAAGAATTTCAGTAACTACTGGCTTGACACCACGTAAGCTATTTAAGATTTCAGATACTCAATGTCATCCTTTGCTTTTCACCACCTTCTTACATTTGAGAGAGATAAAATTAAATGAAGTTTGGGGCGCCTGGGTGGCTCAGTCGGTTAAGCGGTCGACTTCGGCTCAGGTCATGATCTCACGGTCCATGGGTTCGAGCCCTGTGTCGGGCTCTGTGCTGACAGCTCAGAGCCTGGAGCCTGTTTCAGATTCTGTGTCTCCCTCTGTCTGACCCTCCCCCGTTCATGCTCTGTCTCTCTCTGTCTCAAAATAAATAAATGTTAAAAAATAAAAAAAATAAAAAAAAAATTAAATGAAGTTTAAAATGCTATTGTTCTTTTTGGATCATGATTAAAGACAAAACAAAACAAAACAAAAAAAACCAAAAAAACCCACCAAATAATCCAATCAAAATGGGCAGAGAACCGAAAAGACATTTTTCCAAAAAAGATATACAAATGGTCAGCAGACACATGAAAAGGTGCTAAGCATCATTAGTCATCAGGGAAATGCAAATCGAAACCACAATGAGATACCACATCACACATGTCTGAAAGGCTAAAATCAAAAAGACAAGAAATAACAAATGTTGGCAAGAGTATGGAGAAGAGGGAAACCTTGTGCACTTTTGGTGAGAATGTCAACTGGTGTAGCCACTATGGAAAAGCCAGTATGGAGTTTCCTCAAAAAATTAAAAACAGAATTACCATATGATCCAGTAATTGACTACTAAATATTTACCCAGAGAAAATGAAATACTAATTCAAAAAGATATATACACCCTTAAGTTTACTGCAGCATTATTTACAATAGCCAAGGTATGGAAGAAACCCGAGTGCCCATCCATAGATGAATGGATAAGAATGGATAAAGAAGATGTGGTATACACACACACACACACACACACACACAGGAATATTACTCAGCCATAAAAAAGAATGAAGTCTTGATGTCTGCAGCAATATGGATGGACCTAGACAGTATTGTGCTAAGTGAAGTCAGTCAGACAGACAAACAAAATACCAATAATTTCACTCACATGCAGAATTTAATAAAACAAATGAACAAACAAGGAAAAAAGACAAAAAGAAAAAAAATAGATTCTTGAATACAGAGAACAAACCAGTAGTTGCCAGAGGGGAAGAAGGTGGACAGGATGAGTGAAATAAATAATGGGGACTAAAGAAAAATAATACCAGGGGAAGAGAGGTTAAATAAAGGAAAAGGGAGGATATAATGGTGAAATTCAAACCTTCACTGATGAAGCCAACAGAAACCAGAGCTTCCAAGAAAATCCAGGCCTGAGATTAAAGCCAAATCTTTCGTTCCTATCAACATGGAACTACTGAAGTCTGAAGTCTCTTTCTTACTCCATTTTAAAAGCAACTTTTGGCTTGCCTGGACTGTTTCTAAACAGACTGAAGTTAGAGTGTTTATTGCTCAAGCAGGGACAACTTCTATAAAGCCTAATTCAGGATAAGGACTATATTTATTTTGCCCCACATTTCTTGAACTCAAAGTGATTTTAACCTAGGATTACACAAGTAGGAAATCTAGTGGCATCTGCTGGGACTCGTATGTCAGTTTCCTCCTTCCCTGGTCCTTTCTCCATTCTTGCACTACTCCCAGGGAGATGTCCTGGTTTAAGTTAAGGGTCCCTTTCAAAATTTTACAAAAACAAGTTAGTGCCCCCAAATTAAAAAAACAAAACAAAAACAACAGATAATATCCAGTTAGGCAACAAAGAGAGTGATTTACCTTCATACTTTCTTAAAGGTAATACAAACTGATATAACCTTTCTGTAGAACAATTAGGTAATGCTCATGAAAGTCTTAAAAAACATGTGTTCCACTTCCAGGAATTTATTCAAGGAAAGGCAACTCTTTTCCTAGTACCAGCCTTCTTTTCTGTTATCTCTGTAGGTTAGGCTGATAGGTCATCTAACTGTCCAAGGCGTGTTATGTGTTCTCACAATAGACTATAATAGACATGTATTCCTTTGGTAATCAGGTATTTAAGTATCACCAGTAAATATAACACACACAAACACACCCTGCTTAAAATACTTGTATTCCAAAGTGTTTAGTTAAATATGGGGACCACCTTTAGCAACCAGTTTCTTTTACTACTACTACTATTATTATTATGAAAAACTCAATATACATTAACAAATTTTCTAATGACCTAGGTTTTAGGGCTGTAATAAAAAGCTCATGTCCACTTTTGTGGCTATTAATTTCATAAGATGACCTAAACAGAGCTTCAAACCATAACAGCAATTTCCTCTCCCTGTGTGCCCAAGAACTGTGCTTGTAGGCTTTCACAGACTTCCATTGGATATGTGAGTCAATACTAATGCGGCAGCTACAGTTCTTCCTGCCATGACATCTGGAATCCCATTATATGATGGGATGCTCTTTTCTTCCATTTTATATCAGGAGACATTATATCTAAATTCTCCTAGATCACATGACAGTAGCCCTGGAAACAGAAAGCAAGTTTTAATAATTCTTTGGCCAAACCGCACACCTTCTCTGAATCTATTTACCATACTGTTTCAAGATGTTTTCTCAAGCATCTACAGGAGCTACATTTAAAACCTCTGGTCATTGTTTGCTAACTGCTGGGATGGTTTTAATCAGAGAGGAAGCCAATATTTTCAGCTCAGGTGTTGGAAGGGCTCCTAAAATGTCTGCAAACTGATTTAGGAGAGAGAAAATGTTTAACAGAAGCGAACTTATTCCTGCCCTAGAATAAAGAATAAACTCATTAGAACTGACATATGCTGTAACCACTGACCAAGGGAACTACATTTTTTTGAACACAGTACATCTCAAAGGCAACTGACTGAGCTTTCTAAATGTTATCAGTATCAGATTTGATAAAACCTGTTAAACAAGGGCCTCAATGCACTGGTTGACAGGTTCCTTCTTTTAGAGTATTCTTGGTGTTTGGTATAACTTCTCTACAAGGATCTAATTTTTATACTAGTTTTCTTTTTTATTATTTATTTATTCTTATTTTTTAAAATTTTTATTTATTTTTAAAGTAATCTCTACACCCACAACCCTGAGATCAAGAGTCACATGCTCTCCTGACTGAGCCAGGCAGGCACCCCTACACTAGTTTTCTTGAAGAAATTTTTGTTTTTGAAATTTTCTTGAAGAGGTTTGATTTGATGACCCAAGTAAAATCTTCTGATATAAAAGACCTTACATCAGCTCAGCAGATATTCTTCCCTTCTTACAATCTTCACTTGAGGTAAGTGAAGGGAGTCCCTTTGTGACAAGGACCATTTAGTTCTAGGTTCCAGAAAAGCCCAAGTAGCTCAGATCAAACCAGACCTCCCAGATTTGGGGAGAACTAATCCAAATGCCGGTATCAGTTCCAGGAGCATCACAGGTTTTACTAGGGTCAGTAAACCTTTTCTAGGGTAGGCAGGCTCCTCTAAGTCTTAGCTCAAGACACATGGCTTATGGTCAGCCTTGTATTTGCATGAGGAAAATGTTCTCTTCCCCTTTTTCTTTTAATTTTTTTTTTTTTAACGTTTATTTATTTTTGAGACAGAGAGAGACAGAGCATGAACGGGGGAGGGTCAGAGACAGGGAGACACAGAATCCGAAACAGGCTCCAGGCTCTGAGCGGTCAGCACAGAGCCCGATGCGGGGCTCAAACTCACGGACCGCGAGATCATGACCTGAGCCCAAGTCAGCCGCTTAACCGACTGAGCCACCCAGGCGCCCCTCTTCCCCTTTTTCTAACTCTTACCTGATTTATTATGTATAAATTCGTAAAATCCTACCCTAGGAACAAACTACCACAGCAAGGGTTTCTAAAGTTGACTCCACTTAGGCCTACTGATTTCAAGTCTAGGGATACGGTCCTGGAAGCCTCCTTTTTAAAATGCTTTTATGATGGGGCGCCTGGCTGGCTCAGTCAGTGGGGTATGTGACTCTTGATCTCAGAGTTGTGAGTTCAAGCCCCACGGTGGGTGTAGAGATTACTTAAAATTAAAATCCTAAAAATAAATAAATAAATGCTGTTATAAACACCTGTGCATGCTGAAGTATAAGAACCTCTGCACACAGTACAGCTGTAAGAGTGAATGAAAGAGGGAAGGAAAGAAACCCCAGCAAGCAGAGACAGGCAAGATTTGAATTTGAGGATTTAATACTAATGGGGGAATAAGATTTTAAAAAACAACGACAAAACAACAACAAAACACCCCAGCTCACTGGGGAGGGATCATGAACACCTTTGCTTCAACAACTCCATCTTCAGCTAGGCTGGCTGCATCAGTGTGCTGATACTTTCTTCTACCTCTGACAGCTTCTTTAGGACTTGATTGACCTTGACTTCATCAAATTCCAAACACAGAAATTCAGATTCCTGGAAAACACAAAAGGATGTTTTATAAAAGACCCTCAAGATAGCCAAGGCTCTGGATCTGGGCTGACCCAGTTCCAAAGGCCCAGGGCCCCCTACCTAGCAAGCCTGACTCAGGTCTCAATATCTAAATGATATATTATCCAGCAAATCAAATCCACATATTTAGTTCCCTAAATAAAACTACTTCTATTAGGTGTTTCATAAATGGTAAAGAGATATACAAATGTTAGGTGTTCTCATTATGAGGCATGTGAGAAGCTCTTCAGTCATCACGTTCGATCTCATAACAATTTTTTTTAATGTTTATTTATTTTTGACAGAGACAGAGTGCAAGGGGGGGGGAGGGGAAGAGAGAGAGGGAGACACAGAACTGTGGCAGGCTCCACGCTCTGAGCTGTCAGTACAGAGCCCAACACAGGGCTCAAACTCACTAACTGCACGATCATGACCTGAGCCGAAGTCATGTTTAACCGCCTGAGCCACCCTGAGCACCCGGATCCCATAACAATTTTTAAGGTAAGTACTTAAGTACTTATAAATGAGGACACTGAGGCACACAGTGGTTAAGCTGTATCACAGAATCAGAAAAGGGCAGAGTCGGACTGTGAACTCTTAGCTCTGGCTGACTCCAAAGTCCATACTGTCTCCATAGCACCCAGTAGTATAACAATAGAAGGAAGGTCTGGATTGGCTCTGTGTTAGCCTGATAATTGAGCTACTTTGGATTTAGTGGTTATACTAGCAATTATGACAAGTTGTGACCAAGTTGCTAGGGAAATATCAACCAGATCCTTTGAAGATAACCAGGTCTTGAAACAGCCTTAAACATTTCTGAGGCCTTTCCACTTGCTGCAAGCCAACTCTCCAAGATTTCCATCAAACACATTCCCAGCACACACTGTTAGGGCCAATCAACCCTAGATTAGGTAGATATCAAAGAAAAAGGCCTCTGAAGTGTGGTGACAGAAATTTCATGTACAGTGAATAAAATACTTTGAACAAATTATCTCAAGCAACAGCGGCAAATTATATGTATCCAAGAGTGATTATCTTTAAGATCCTTATGAACAATAATCATATTTTGTTTTGTTTTGTTTTGTTTTAATTTTGGAGAGAGAGAGAGAACACACAAGTGGAGGAGAGGGGCAGAGAGAGAGAGAGAGAGAGAGAGAGAGAGAGAGAATCCCAAAATGGGGCTTGATCCCACGACCTTGGGATCATGATCTGAACCTAAATCAAGAGTCAGGTGCTCAACCAACTAGGCCACCCAGATGTCTCAGAACAATAATCATATATTTTAAAGCAGTATGAATTCTCAGAGATCATATAATTCAACTACCTTGTTTTTTAGATAATGAAATTGAGGCCCCCAGCATGGTAAATGACATGTCTATTGTCCCTCTGTTGATGGAAGAGCCACCAACCAGATCAATGCTCTTTTCTTTACATTTTCCTCTCTAAATACATGGTATTTCCCGTCTCTATCCCCAAAGTGGAAGGTAAGAGGAAGAGCAACAAGCCTTTTCAGTAGGAGCAAGTTACTCTGTCAATAGCCAGAAGAACTTTCAGGAGCTGATTTTGGGAAAGTCCCTGTGCTGTTGCTAGGCTGCTGTGTTGTTTATTCCCCCAGGAGAAACAAGTACAGAAGGAAAGAAAGGGTCTCTCAGATGAAAAGTTTCCAACGGGAGGAAAGGCTTTCCCTGACTACAGGGAACCTTTTCCTCAAACACGTATTTGGATAGTAGAGGGGAATAGTACATGAACTTAGAAACCGTCAGGTTTAAAATTAAAAAAGAAAGAAAAAAGACAGTGCCAGGTTTTCATTTAGTGGAAAGCAAAAACCAATTTAGAGAAAAGAAAGATGCTCTTTGTGTTGAGAAGCTGCAGGAAGGGTCATCTCCTTTTGAAAAGAAGAGCAAATTTATGGCAAATTAGACAATCCAGTTAGCTAAATTAAGAACTGGTCTCAGATTTGAAAGCCTTTATTCTTCATTCAGTTTTACTGAGATCTTTAGCGTGCCTTTAAAACATTTTTGAACATTTGGGCTTTGAAATAATAGTCTAGAAAGTAATATTTACCAGTCTAACATATATATTCAGGAAATTGGCAGAAGATGATGCACCCATGTTTTAACCTCATTGAAAGTCATTTACTATAATAAATTCACCTGGTTTTCTATTTATATGGGAAGAAATTATCAAGGACTTTGATCAAGGACAGAGATAGGAATACTTGAACAGAGTTCATTAATAAAAGCCAGGATCTTTTTTAATGAGGGGTCATTAATTTTTTGTAGATTTCAGTACTCAAATTATCTATGATCAGACCTCTAAACATCAGTGAAGCTGTTTATTTTTAAGGATAATCAAATACTACAGAATCTAGCAGACTAGATAAACAGAGTCCAAAGTTAAATTTTCCAACCACTCCCAATCTTCACCTCTCCCCGCTTGAAACAATACACATTAACATGTTAGAAAGACACATATAACCATTTATGACTCTTGAAGACACAGTTTATCTTAAACTATTATCAAGGCTTAGCTTCATCTAGTTATGCTATCAAAATATTTTATCAGGTATTCAAGATCTTTTAAATTGGGGCTTAATACAGGGGGCTTTGTTCAAATTTTGCATTTGGCTGGGGGTACCCTACAGAAAATACATCGAATGCACTTGAAAATATCTGTATATGCAGATATATCTGTAGATATCTGTAATGCAAATGATGCGTATCAAGCCAGAGACAGGAAGTATAAGGACAATTTGAAACATCTGATTTTTTTTTAATTTTAGAGAGAAAGTATGCACAAGCAAGGAAGGGGGAGGGGAGAGAGAGGGAGGGAGAGAGAATCTTAAGCAGGCTCCATGCTCAGCGCGGAGCCCGACTCGGAGCTCAATCCCATGACCCTAGGATCACAACCTAGGCCTAAATCAAGAGTTGGTGGCTCAACTGACTGAGTCACCCAGGTGCCCCT